GTGTAGTTGATCTGGCCCTGGGGACTTGAACTCATTAAGAGCGGCCAGGTATTCCTGGACGACTTCTTTCCCAATTTGGGGTTGGATGTCCTCCAACCCCAATCTCTTCTCATCTATCTCTTGACTGATCTCTTCTCATCTATCTCTTGGCTCATTATCTATTTTCTCTCTTGGCTTGTCATCTATTTGCTCATTAATTTCTGCAGGTGCATCCCCACACCCCTCATGGACATTATCATGGGAAACATGGGATCTCCTGGTCATTCTCTGCATCAATATCACTGCTATCTTGAAACTCATCTTGAACCTCATTAACACCATTCCCTATATCCAAAGCACCCTGATCCTGAAACACAATCACAGGCTGAACTCCAACAAGTACTTTATGTTGAGTTATACCTGCAATCTCCTGCAAAGAATCGTTGCCTTGTCGTGGTGCTGGAGCTTGAGCACCTCGATGATGCCATGAGTGAAACTGTGAAGGGATACCAAAGACAGAAAGGTCATGGCAGAGAGATCAGACCAAATACGATCCCTGAAGAAGGTAATGGCAATCCACCCCAGTATTCTTGCCATGAAAACTAAATGGGTCTGTACAACCAGAGATATGTCAATATACCATTGGAAGATGGGACTCCCTGTTGCATCCCAGATCAGGAAACGAGACCATAAGATTCAATCCACCACACTGGACTGTGAGAAAAACAATCCTTTTTTATTGATGAAAAATGGTTACAAAAGAAAAGTAAATGCAAAGTCAAAAAGCCACAGTAGAAACTCAGCAGTCAGGAAAAATCTTTGAACTTGAGCAAAATTCCAAAAACAACAATACAGACACCAGGAACCTGTTAGCATCACTAACCATACTTGAAAACTAGAAGCCTCTGGGAATGCAGGCCATGGAACGCAGGAAAACTGCCAAGGTGCTGCCTCAGTCTAAAACGTTGCTTGATCTAATGAGACAACCGGGGGGAGGCCCCTTAAACCAAAGAAACTATTTCTTGAAACGCCTCCAGACTTTGAAGCCTCCCTCTCCCGTAATCCATTTGACCTTCGTAGAAACCGTGATTCACTCCTGTTTTTCCAAATCTGTTCCCTTCGGTCCTCATTAAAAAACCCAGGTGTGATTCCCTCTGGAGAGCTATCACGGCCTGATTCCAAAACATTCTCATCAGGCTGTTCAGTTTCACTTTCCCCGCCACTGACTTCAGCATCAAGGGTTTCAACACTATCAGGGAAAGATACATGTTCAGTGGCTTGCTCAGTTGCATCAGGAAATACACTCAGAGAATCAGGTTCACACAGAGATTGAGGCTCAGTTTCACACGGAGGTGGCTGAACCCCAACACTCCCAGGTTGGAAAGATGGTCAAAATGCTACTGGGGAGGAACAGAGGGTAAGTTCAACTAGCCCCAGATGTGGAGAAGATAATGATGCTGGGAAAAAAATGGAAGGAAAAAGGAAGAGGGGCAGACCAAGGACGAGATAGATGGATGGTATCTTTGAAGTGACTGCTTGACCTTGAAGGAGCTGGGGGTGGCCACAGCCGACAAGGAGCTCTGGTCCATGAGGTCACAAAGAGTCAGAAGCGACTGAATGAATAATAATAAAAAACACCTGCAATCCATCTTATACAAAGGCTAGCTTCTTCCAGGCAATCAACCTTTCCCAAAAATGGTAGCTAAAATCCTGCATTGCATTGGTAAATGTAATAGAAATAGCTAATGCTATGTCTATTCCTCTTTCCTTGAACATATTGGGGATTTTCCAAAAATGTTTCTAAACTGTGGATAAAGCATGCAAATGAATTTCCCTGAAAATAGCTAATAGACCATTGCTGAATTCTGTGTTTTGTATAAGATTCTGTGGTGTAGGGCAAAACTATACAAGAACCACACTAAATCAAAACTCAAAGTAAACGATGCTTATAGATACAAACTAAGTACAACAATTTTATTTCACTCCTAGATTCTTAGAGTTCCCAAACTATGTTGTAAGGGCAATAGAGGTTAACCGTTGCCCTCCAGCAATTGGCATTTATTAGCATATTTTAAAATTAAATATGGATAATTAATCTATGACTAATAATTATTGATGTTCCAGTTCTCACATCATATCACTTTGCTAATCTGGTGTCTGGAAGAAAAATCCATATGTCTACAGGTCATGCTTTGACATTCCTTGATATGTACCAAAATATGATAGTTGTACCCATACCACCTGAACAGTATAGGTTATTTATTTATTTATTTATTTATTTATTTATTTATTTGAAGACGGCTCGGAAGCTCCAGCTAGTCCAACGCTCGGCAGCCATGATACTAACAGGAGCGGAGCGCAGNAATCGTAATCCCAATTACCTCTTCCAAAAGATGAAGTGAATATTTTACGTACTATAATTATGGGTCTGGATATGTTTCATGAATGGAAGGAGCCTAATTGGAAAGATATTTCGTATATTTGGTTGTATGCATTCTAGAATTAGACTAGACCATGAACATTGAGGACTTTGGCTTTTTAGAGCATGTCTAGACATCTTGAATTTTGAGGTTCAGGGCATCTGGTCCTCATAGTTTGAATAATCAGGGTATTTCAGCATCCAGTGATGGATGTGTCTAAGATGAATGTGGACTATGCAATCTGCATAGCTGGTTTCCTTTAATGAACCACCAAGCTCAATGTGAGGAAAGTTGACCTCTATCTAATTCAAACATGCTTTTTCTGTCTGTACTCTTCCGATTACATGAATGGGGGTATGGCCTGAGAAAAAAACAGTTATTGGAAAAAGCCATCATACTATAAAACTCCCTGCTTATGTAAAGGTAGCTTATTAAAGAGAAGCCCTTTAGGTTTGCTGACCTCTTAGTCTTTCTTTGCTGGAAGACTTTGGTGTGTGGTGTTTTCAAGCAAGCAGTCCTCCATGGATGAGAAACAGGTGTGTCCATGTGCTCACCTAATATTTTAGATACGTCTGTTTGTCTTAAAAGGATTTGGTCATTTCCACTTATCTATAAAAAAATAAAAGTAAATATAAAAGTGAAAAATGTGTATGTGTGTATGTGGCGGAGGTGTCCACCTATGCAGACAGCCTCTGACCTCCACAAACAGGCTGTAGTTCCAAGTTCTGAGAAGCCTCCAAAGGCACTCCCTCCACTGACATTGCAGGTTATAACAAGCGCCATTAATATGTTGCCCAAACACTGCCAATGTCCTCCCCAAACACTAACCACCCAAGGAATGCTTTCATTTGGGGACAATTTCATCTTAGATTTGACATGTTTCCTCCACCACAGGCAGGCATACCAGGGTTGCTTGTGTGGAAAATATGAGCCCTCCCACTGCCTTTTCCTTAACCCTTTCCCTCACACACAGCAAACACAGGGGAATTGATCAGCAACTGAACAGACTGGGGGGGGGGGGGCGAGGTTGTGGAACTGACTCAACAGGATGGAAGTTGTAGTTCACCCAGCATCAAGGCACTCTGACCCCCTTCGATAATGGACCTGGACCCCATTTGGCATGCAGAACCCCCATGACCAGGTTTGGGGGTGATTGCCCTGAGAATCTGGGAGTTGTAGTTCACCCACTGAACCACACTTACATCCAGAGACACTGTGACCACCACTGATGACGAATCTGGACTAAACTTGGCACACAGAGCCCCTATGACCAACTGAACCTACTGGAGGGGTTTGAGGGGACTGACCCATCATAGTGGAAGCTGTAGTTTATCCTGCAGCCATAGATCACACTGAACCTCTCCAATGATACATCTAAAGCAAACTTGCCCAACATGACAAACTTTAACTACCAATGGAGTTTCAGGAGGTTAACCTGTGAAGATATGGGTTGCAGTTTACCCACATCCTTATGCATTTTGTAAAAAAAAAAAAATTCAAATAACTCAGGCAATGCTGGGTACCCAAGCTAAAAATAAATGGGATTCTCTAGCAACCATCCAAAAGTTCAGTTAAATCATTGGAAGGCATTACTGATTTTCTGTGGAATTTGTCACCCAGAAATGCATTTATTCTCCTCTCCGCTTAATTGTGAAGTTGTATCTATCAGTATACTGGTGCTTCCCTCTCACAAGATCCCTTGCCACTGTGATCCTTACAGCTACTTTATCTTGTTTTGTTGCTTTGCTCTAACACATTTTGTTTTAATTAGACGTTCTAAAATTTGGAATAGTCAGAGGAGGAGTATTTCATTGGGCATAACTTCCTGTAGCTCCTCAGTAGAGCTATTAGACTAGGCGCCATATGTTCGCTAATGGCAGAGGCCATCCAGGGACATGCCTGAATTAGTGCAGCTCCCTGGTTCACAGATGAATGGAGGTGCTTGAATTAGTTCAGCTGTATTCCTAGGCTTCATGCCCAGTTATCTGGTGCCACTCTGGGAGTTTGCCTGAATGGGGCAGTGCTGTGGTTGGCTTCATTCTAATGATGGACTGTAATGATATTGGTTTGAGATGCTATTGATACGATTGCTTTCCCCTCACATCTCCATTTACTTTTTGTTTGTAAGAGTTCCACCTGTGCTCAAAAATACTGTAATTGTAGCAAACATTAAGTCCAAGTCATGTTCCAAAGTCTGTACCGTTTAAAGTTGGAGTGAGATAGTTATCAATTGCATTTTACCACAACAGAGTGAGTATTTATTATTAGAAGACTTGGAATCAGAAGTGTTTGGATTTTGGATTTTTTTAAAAAGAAATCAAATATTTACATATACATTATGTCTTGGAAGTGGGATCTAGGGCAAAACATGAAGATCATTTATGTTTCCTATGCACCATTACAAATAACCCAAAGCCATTTTTACACAATATTGCAATATGTTTATCCATGACATAAAATTGTGTTCATTAAATAATCAGAAAGCAAAGATGTCACTGTTTTAGCCAGCTATGCTATTTTGGATTTCTGGACAATTGATGCTCTAGTTGCAATGTTAATCTGACTAATTTAGCATGACTGATTTATTCTGTTTCAATTTAGATTTCTGATATCCATGTTACTGGAGAGTCAGAGGATATGTCCGCTAAAGAGAGATTGCTCCTGTGGACACAGCAGACAACGGAGGGTTATGCTGGAATTCGTTGTGAAAATTTCACTACCTGCTGGAGAGATGGAAAATTATTTAATGCCATCATTCATAAATACAGGTAAACACACACTCTTTGGTTTTATAAAGAACGTTCATGGAATAAATATTCTGAGGGACTTAGATCCAGTTGCTACACCCAGCTAGAACAGACTCATTGAATTAATGGGATTTAACAATCAGCTGTGATAGTAGTAGTAATGAAGTCCCATCAGTGGATCTGTTATAGAACTAGGAAATAGTTTTAGGCCAGATTTTTGTATAAACTATATTTACTAAGAGCTATATTATTTCAACTTGAGGGCTGCAGTTATAATTGTAGAACTGTAGTTTTTAACCAGACAATTAAACCTGATAGAAATTAAGAGATTAATTGAGCTCTTCTCAATCAGTCTTAAGCATTGGCAAATTTATGCCTTAGCTCAGGCATGGGAAAACTCTGGTCAATAAGCTGGATGCAGCTCCCATCCAACTGCAACTGGAAGTGAGAAGCTATTTAAGTTTTAAATTGCCGTATTTACTTGAGTATAATGTGTCATCGATTGCAATGTGCACCTCAATTTTGAAGGTGTACATTACAAAAAAAACAAATAAAAGACTGTTATTAACTGTAATGATATGCCCTTGGAACAACTGAGAGACAAGGGGAACCCTGATAGAGGGGCACGGCTCCCCCTCCCCCTTCAGAAGGCCATTAAATGCAAGAGAGGGGTTTAAAAGGCTTTGTGAAGGAGCCTTGGCATGATGGAGGGACACATTTTCCAAACCTCCTTTGTGAGGCCTTCAAAGTCTCCCACTTGGTTTTTTTAAGGCCTAGTGAATGAGGCCAGTTGAGAGACATGCAAGGCTGGCAAGTTCACCAGCCTTGGTTTGACAGAGGGGCACAGGAGGGTTTACATGCATGAATAATGCGCATCTCAATTTTGGTTATGCAGTTTAGCAAAAAAAAAAAGTTACATTTGAGTAAACATGGTGCCTATACAGAACTGAGTTTGGCTTTCGGTAGGCAGAAGTGTTGCATAAAACACAGCTGTGATTTGGAGGCAGGAACTTGTTCCTAACTATACAGTTGGCCCTCCACTTTTAAGAGGCTTGGGGTGCAGGGACCACCTTAAAAGTCAAAAAAACACAAATGAAAAAGCACTTTAAAAAATCTAACAGAACCCCTTTCTAGGGATCTCTAAGGCCTCCAGTGCAATTCTGTGGTTTATGAGAAGTTGACCATGTAATCATGCTGGGAGACATAGCCTGGTTCTGTGGTCAGCTTCCAGCAGAAGTTGACCAGAGAGTCATGCTGCAAGATCTAGAGATTCCTGGAGAGAACATATTAATGAAATCCACAAAAGTTAAATCTGCAAATGTGGAGGGATGATTGTACACACAAGACATACATGGAGAAATCGAACAATGCTTGGTATGCCTGGTGGGAAAATGACTAAAGTAACCAGAATTACATGTGGATTCATTCACATTGCTTTGTCCAGGACCTTTCCTATCCTCTTAGACTCATCCACAAATCCAATGCAGGTTCCAAGGTCCTTGTCAAAAATATAGCCCTACAGCCAAAAATGTTCCCCACCTTCTCCCTCGATCCAAGCTATATGGCCTGCCCTTTTCTGCCTTGATATCATTTAGTAAATAATGGTCCAAAATTGCAGGCATCACATTTTACAGTGTCCAGGGCATATTCGCAGAAATCCATCAAAGGTTTGCTTTCCAAGAAACTTGCTTTCCCTATATATTTTTTTTTAATTTTGTAAAAAATGTCTCTTGGCAGTATGCATGGGAACATTTCTGCAGATTCTCATAATGGTAGGGTTTCAGAGACTGAGGATGTTGTTGAATCAGTGCCCTGCAAAGGTCCTGCCCTCCCTCCCCCACAAACCAGCAAGTAAAAGATAGTATTTAAAATTTAACTCTTGCTGACTACATTGTCACCACTCTAACTGTCATGGCTCAATTCTATGAAAGGACGGGATTTGTAGTTTGGTGAGGCACTAACATTCTTTGACATAGAAGGCTAAAGACCTGGTAAAATGGCCATTACTCCATAGCATTGAATAATGGCATTTAAAACGCTGCCAACCTCCATTAATTTTATAGTTTAGATGTATCCTTCCTCATGCAAAATTGGATACTCAATTGGTTTGCCTACATGCATGCTTTCTTTTCTTTTCATGCTGAAACATGTGCAGCCTTTAGGAAAGGGTTATGTCTTACAGGAATAGAACAGATTCTTTGTGGTTCCAAACACAGTAGCTGTTTCCTCATCGAATGACAGGATATCAGAGATCAAGTTTCTAGAGGCAATAAATTTGGACACAGTAATAGTCTGTCCAGTGTAAGGAGTAGAATAACCCCTCTGCAGTCTGTGAAGAAGTAGGACAGGTGTGTCCCAGTTGTGCTAGACGTTGTATACAGAGCCCAAGTGAGGAAGTCTGTCATTTGAGAAACAGGTCTTGTCCTATGTGGCATCTTCTCCATGAACTACAAGTCCCTGAATTCCTTATGTCTGTCCTTATGAAAGGCAGAAGGAATCACAAGGTGTTTACATCTGATCTTCAGCAAGAGGAAGGAAAATCTAGAGATGCAAGGGTTGCAAAAATGGGAGAAATTCACACTGATGTTTGCATTTAAAGGCACCAGAATATCAGTGAAGAAATGCATCATGTCCAGTAATCCAGGGGACAGAGAGCAGATTTCAGAGGCTGGGAACAGCTGTCTTTTGTCACTTATGTATAATGAATGTACAAGTGCTGCATTGCCCATATACTCGTGCTATATTGCCATGACAAAAAAATGAGTACACAAAGATATGTAAGGAATCAAAAGGACAGTAATCAATCCTCCATTTTTTCAAGAGAGACCAAAATTTTGTTCTTTTATTGTGGGATTGTGCCCCTACTCAGATCAGTAATTTGTCATGGCTTTTCCTATCCATGCTATTGAACTGGATCAGGTGCCCATGTTAGCATGTAGCCTGCCAGTTGCTATAACATTGACAGGGGTCTCCGTTCTGACCCCTTACTGCATGATTTATCTATTGCCATAGCAGCTGCTGTAGCTCATAAACACTCTCTATACATGTTAAAATGCCTTTAGGTGTGAAATTTTTTTTTGCTTTCTTTGTCTTCTTACTTCACCTCAGATGACCCTGTTACAGTAACAATGCAATTTTATGTTAGCGTAGAAACAAGCCCTATTGATTGCAGTAGGACTTTTTCCCAGATTGAGGCCTGAACGAGGTTTTTTTTTTTTTGTAATTATGCAAAGTATTAAGCCAGGATCAACATGCTAGGATTGGCAAGCTCTATATTTGTATGTGTGTGTGTACGAGAAGGTAGTAAACAGATTTTGCAGCCTTTCTAGGTTCTGCACTATTTTGTGTGGGCAAAATTCATAGCATATATTTTTCTTCATAAAGTGGCATCAATTTCCTCAAATATAAAGCATTCAAAGTTTCTGTGTCAACTGAGCAGAAGCAATTAAACCAACCGCAAACAAAGCTTTCTTTATAATAGTTAGTCTGTGCACTTCACCTTTTAAAATGTCACAGTTTCCTCAGTGTTGAGCATTTTTAAAATCAAAGGAAAATGAAGGGACTAATTGGGGGGGGGGTCAGAAAACCCCTTTTAATTATCCTAAACCTGCTTCCAAGACATCCAAATAATCTCTTTCTGCACATCTCATCAAATTTTGCCGGTTACTTCACTTAGGGCACTTTTGCAATATGGGTAATTTTCAACTCTCTAAAATGTACACAAATAAGCATTTTAAATTCATCCCCAAAGTAAAAGTGTCCTATTAAAATGCAAGGAAATACTGACAATGCTCTGAGTTTGCTAGTGCTTTACATCCTTGAAAACACCAACAATGCCATTGAATTTCATCCAGTTCTGTCAGGAAATTGTTCCTTTTCTGGCAATTTGCTATTTAGTAATAGATAGATAGATAGGCCCCTAAGATTTGATTGATAGATAGATAGATAGATAGATAGATAGATAATTATTGTTATTCTTTAACAATAGTACAAGCCACAAGGAGAGGTGAGTAAGAAATAAAATTATTAGTATTATTATTAGATAATAATCAAAAGTTAGACCTGCTTACCTATTTGCCTGACATTTATTAGGCTTAATCTAATCAGAAAAGGCTGCTATACAAATGTTATAGGAATGTGTAAAAATGTGGTAGCCATTTTTAATCAGTAATTCCAGTCAGTGGAAATCACCATTTTAATGCCATCTAAAGCGAGTTTTATTTGATGCTTAGCCCATAGGTCTTTCACATGTAAAGCAAACAAATAAATACATTAAAACCAGATTATTAAATATAATATCAAATCCTATATAAATAATTAAAATGCTACATATATCTATGGCAAGATGTACCCTCAAAATAGTACATAAGATACTGCATGGACTTGCACATAAGATACTGCATGGACTGCATGGACTTGTATAGTTAAAATCCAGGTAAAACTAAGTATATACAACATTATTAAACAGGGAACACCTTGGATATAAACAGCCACTATTAGTTAAAAGCATCCCCAGCACAGTCAACTGCAATATCAAAACTTAATTTTGCCTGGATTTTCTGTGCTGCCAGGGCAAAAAGAGGCACCTTCTCTTCTTCAGGCTTAAGGAGCTGGCCATGTTTAGCCTGAAGAAGAGAAGGCTGAGAGGAGATATGATAGCCATGTATAAATATGTGAGAGGAAGCCACAGGGAGGAGGGAGCAAGCTTGTTTTCTGCTTCCCTGGAGACTAGGACGTGAAACAATGGCTTCAAATTACAAGAAAGGAGATTCCATCTGAACATGAGGAAGAACTTCCTGACTGTGAGAGCCATTCAGCAGTGGAACTCTCTGCCCCTGAGTGTGGTGGAGGCTCCTTCTTTGGAAGCTTTTAAACAGAGGCTGGATGGCCATCTTTCAGGGGTGATTTGAATGCAATATTCCTGCTTCTTGGCAGGGGGTTGGACTGGATGGCCCATGAGGTCTCTTCCAACTCTTTGATTCTATGATTCTATGATTCTATGACCGCTGTGGGCATACTTT